TCTCTCTCTCTCTCTCTTTTTGTGGAACCAGGGATTGAACTCAGGCCCTTGCACTTTCCAGGGAAGTGCTTATTTCCACTGAGCCATCTCCCCAGTCCCGAGATTATTTCTTTCTTAAAATATTATTGATTTCACTTTTTAGCTTATTTGTTTAGTATTCAGAAGTGCAATTCTTAGTTCTTCATGGTTCTTCTGCCATATTCTACAAATAATATTCGAGTCCATACTCTCGTTATGACTAATGACAAATGTTCTTTAGACCTTGAAGGAAAGATGAGCTTATTGTTTTATTTGGGGTAGCAAAATATTACACAAGGAAAAGGATTTTATATCTCCTCACATGAGTAATTTCCAGCATAAACAAGATCTGTATTAATAGACATATTCCATTATTGTATAGACCACAGCCTCTGAACAAAAAACCTTTAGTAGAGTTGTTTGGGAAATCCAGGTTGTGGAGAGCCTTTCAAAATATAGAATAAGGTTAATGTGCATGAAAATCTGAAGGCAAAGGTAGAGTATAGAGAGTGCTCCAAAAATTAAATATCTATTCTTGGAATATATTAATCCTTAAGAAAAATTATTCACAACTTGGAGTATTAAATATGATGATCTTATAAGTGTCCCAGTGGCAATACTAGTGTGGCCTTTGCTTCTAGGACTTACTAAGAAAGAATGGAATTTTTACAAATATTGTAGAATTAAATGTGAGAGACACGCAGTGTAAAAACCACACTAAAGGCAATTTTGAAATGGCAGCTTGAATTCTTGAGATTGGATTAGGTAGGGTAGGGCGAAAAGGGGAATTGATGCCAACCCATTTTCAGGTATATAACCATCAAAAGAGTAGGATTTCAGTCTCTCTGATTAAATGGGAGGACAGAATCCTAACTGATGATTACCAGCCAACAAACACAGCTTGCCTAGTCTCATGCATACTGCCCAACACTCTGTACTTTTTTATTTCTCTGACTGTGGGTCCCTATCTCTCCCTTAATTACTTATTTTTAGTTCACTTTAACTAATTTTGGAGAGCTAAGACTCCTACTTATTCTGACATTCCCTTCTATAGAGGCTATTCTTATGGGTAGCAAGAAGATAGAATATAATGCAATTTCAAAGAGCCATTATTTTTTTAACTAGGCTGATTAACATCTCAGGTTTCTGAAGAAAAAAGCTAACTTTTAATAATTAGAATGGAGATTTAATAATTAGAATGGATATTTAATAATTAGAATGGAGATTTAATTAATTGAAATAAAAACCAATTAGTCTACTCCACATGAACACATTTGTAAAAAAAGATTAGTGTGTTTATAGAGTGCCTAATTCTCTTCTGGATGTGATAAGACTTTGCTGTCTGGCAGTTTCAGAGTGATTTCTTTATACTGACCCTACAGATAATTCAGTCTTTTTAGAGTTACTGAATTTATGGTGATAGCCACGAATCCACTAGACTTACTGTTAACTTTGATGTAGGCCACATCAAGTATCAAGAATGCTGCTCACTTAAAAGGTACTCAGATTCAGGATTATGTCTATAAAAGATTATGTAAGAGAATCTAGGAAGTGAACAAGCATCATGGCAGCATTTTGTTACAGTTAAGCATTTATAAAGGTGTGATAAAAGTCAAGATGCTTTATTTTTTATTAAAAAACCTTGGTTAGCAGCTTTCTATGAGTTTTCAAAATTGTAGTGAATTGTTGTGTCTTAATGTGCATTTAAACCACCATTCTGAGATCATAGATTCAAGGTAATGTGAAGAGAAGAGCATGCCAGTCTACAGGGAAATTATGGCTTGTCTTCTGGACTGAGTTTGTGACTTGTTACATTGATTTTATTTGCTACAGATATTTAAGTTTTAACCAATGGTTTTCAAATACTAAAGAAATATTATAGTATTGTATCAAAAATTGGCTTTTTCTTTTTAAACTTTTAGGTTACATTTGACCCAGAGGTGTTTTTCAACATTTTGTTGCCTCCAATTATTTTCCATGCTGGATACAGTTTAAAGAAGGTAAGACAGTTTTGCCAGTAATTTTTTAAGATACGAATCTCTCTGTTAATTTACCTGCAGAATTTTCTAGTTTTTCTCTTGTCCTAGATTGCTTATTACTATTTTTCTTATCCACTCAGAGACTATAGGTCACTCATCATCAGTGATTCATATCTCTTTTAAAATCTAGAACTCTTCTGTACCTCCTGTGGGTAGGTAATGTAGTATGACCTTTCTGGGAAACAAAAGTGGTAGCTTCTTAAAACTAAAGTTGAGATTGCTGTAAGACCCAGTAATTTCACTACTAAGCATTTATCTCAAAAAACCCCCATTTATCTCAGAGAAAGAGAAACTTTATGTTCACATATAAAATTGTATACACGATTGTTCATACTACTGTATTTGTAATAGACAAAAAATAGAAGTAACCAAAATTTCTAACAATAGGTGAATGGTTAAATGACCTATACTATAAGTAATACTCAGCCATATGATAGAACAAACTACTGAGACATAATCTGAATGGATGTTCTACCCCTGAGCTATATCACCAACCCAGTTCTGTGTCTTAATTGTACTAATTGGAGATTTGTACATGTGATAAAATGACATTTAATTATCCATACACATTGCCCAAATGCTAGTTTTTTGGTTTTGAAACTTTTCTGTAGTTGATGTAAGATAGAACTAGTGGGGGAAGCTGGGTGAAGCATCTAGAAGAACCTTTTTACTGTTTTCACAACTTTAGTGAATCTGTATTTATTCCAACATAAAAGTTTTAAGAAACTTAACTATCCTTAACATTGAGGGTCATTGTTCTTGACAGCAATATTAGGCTTAAGACTCTAGTTATTTATTTATTTTTTTTGTATTTAGTACAGGATCTACAGGGTCTTACCACACAGATTGGACTCCTAGTGATCCCCCTGTTTTCAGCCTCCTGAGTGCTGGGATTATAGGCGTGTGCCACCATGCCCAGGTTAGAGGAGCAAGAATGATTCTCTACTGTGTAGATGGCCAAGTCAGGATCAAGTTGGTTGCCCTTTTCATAGATAAAGTCACCACTCCTTACTGCATCATCTGCATGATGGAACATTACAGTTAGAGGGATGCAATAGAAATCCTCTCTCCACAATGTATGCTGCTGGAGTAGGAGACTGCATTTTTGCACACCAGCCTAACATGCATTTGTGTACTTATTTGTAAAGTGTCCTGTATTTTACTGATGATGGAATCAAACTTAGAAGGACTAATGAGGCAAGTGAGGTTATGTAGATTGTGTGGGACGGAGTCAAGGTTATGTCCTGTCTGATTCCAGGGCCCACCACTACCCTGTCTGGACAAAGGTGTTCTTTACAAATAAACCATACCATTTTCCTAACTTGTCTATGGGGTTGCTCAAATCATCTGAACCTGTATATCATTTATTGACACTCAAAAGATAGGAGGTGGTTATTATGAGTCTAAATAAATTTATTTATTTACCTAAATGGAGGACTTGGAATTCTTTTTCAGACCAAAATTAATGATGAATAATTTGATATTTTAAAAAACTAATCTCAGTGTATAATCAAGTGGTAATTGCTTTAAATGAAACCAAATTATGGGTTGTGAAAGCCACTTTAATGGCTGAAAAACATCATATTTGCACAATCTTCCTTTTATCAGTCCTATTTTCTTAAAAGAAAAAAGTAATACACTTTGCTAGTTTTCTATTTAAGCTGTTCTTCACATGTTAGTCTTTTGGCCTATCAACTATTAATCTTTTTCATTTTTAAATAATCTTTATAAAAGCACTGAAATAGTTGGTTCTTACTGTCGTTGCCATCTCTCATTAAATATATTGTCAGTTGAATGTGTGATATTTCACTATTCAACTGATAGTGTGTAAGCAGCTACATGCAGAGCATTTGACCTGTGTACACATAGCCCTCAGTGCAGACATGGGCTTTTTCTGATTTGAAATAGTTATTGGAATTAGCTTTGATTTTGTGCTATCACTTGTGGTTTGTTTACAGGGCATCAGCTGGGAAATAATTCATCTATGAAAGCCTTCATTTTTTGTAAACTTCCCCACTAAACACACACAAACATGTTAACATATGAATACTTGTTACTGAGCAATGGGAGGGGATAGGGTATTCCTTAGGAGCAGAAACCTAAGGCTTATAATGGTATGCTAGGAACTGGAATATCAAAGGCATTTTCACTGAAAGCAAATCTTATTTGTTGTGGTCTGTCATAGGCATAGATTCTTGAAAATCTTTATCGGATCATGCCGCCATGTCATTTTGCCTCTTGGTTCTATTCTGTACCTCAGAGTAAGGAGTAGGGGAGACTGTACCAGTTACATCTGTATTGTAGCCAAATAGGCATAGAATGATCAACCTAGCATTCTATTGGATGCTTCCTGTCCTTTCTTATTTAAAAGGAAGTGGTGAGGATTAAACTGGGCAGCAGGGAAGTATAGGCAGTGGGAGAGTGATGCACTGGGGTCCAGAGACTGGCTTTTCAGTTCTGAAGCTGTGTTTTGGTGATATACAACTTCAGACAATTCATGCCATCTCTTTGATTTCTTGGATTTTCATTGTGTAAAATGGTACAAACAACAGCTTCATACTGGACATATTTTGAGAACTGGATAGGCTAATATATGTAAAAGTACTTTGTGAATGATAAAGTATACATTTAAGTACTAGATGTAATATACAAACAAATGGAACATCTCTTCAAGGTATAGTAAAATTTTAATTCATACAGATAAGAATGGGGAGTGGGTAATTTATGTGCTTGTGATTCTAGAATAAATTATGAATGTATTTTGGTAGTATATTTACATTTCTAATATTGTGCTTTGGCTAGTATCATGAATATTAATTTACTTTAATATATATTCATAGTAATCACAGGGATGGTTACTCCAAAATAAGCTGAGTGGCAAGAGAAGCATATCTGGGATTGAAATGTGTTCCTGGATGCTTCATATGAGCATCATTGGTCTCATATCTTGTCCATTATGTACTGTTAGCAGTGCATAATTTAAGTTAAAGTGTCTTTAAAGGGAAGTTGGCTTACATTTGTTGGTTTATTTAAATATAATTATCTTTTACAACATATTAGTATATAAATGCATTGTCTTAAAAAAGACTGGGTACAGTGGTTTAGAAGTCAAACATAATGTGCCCATAGTCTGTATAGGCAGCACTTCATTTGGTGACTGTTGACATGGCAAGACCTTGAAGTATTTTTTTCTTAGCAGGTGGCTTAGGGCATTGGCCATTCCTTGACAGCGTCATCCTGGGGCAGGCACTGGGGAAAGCTGAAGCTGAGAGCTCTAGCTCTCCATCTGTGATGCAGGCCAGGAGATGCCTTTGTCTGGCCCTATTTTGCAGTGACTGTGTGGGGCTGGAAGGGTTCCTCTTCCTGTGCCTGGTCTTTCCCTGATGTTACTCAGCTGGCACATTGGGGCCCTGATGCCTTTTGGAATATTTTAGATAAAATATTCCTGGTCCTTGTTAAATTAAGATGCTTAGGAGATTTTGTTTATCTTTTTTGTTAAATAATTCTGATTGTTGAGTGAGAACATATTTTTCCTTGAGAAGTAAGAACCATGACTTAGAATTTCAAGGACAAGTGTAACTTTCCTCACAGTCAGAGTATCTCATAGGCTTAAAATCTTCTAAGAAGTAAATCCGTGTGTACGCATGTGTGTATGTGTTCATATTTTAGGGTGACCAATGAGTGTGCATAAGTATTGAAAAGATTATAGTTTTGCCACCTCTTTCTGAATAATTGCTAGCTCTTTTTCTTTCTTTCTTTTCTTTTTTTTTTTTCTGAACTGGGGATTGAACTCAGGCCCTTGCGCTCGCCAGGGAAGCACTTATTCCACTGAGCCATCTCCCCGGCCCCATTGCTAGCTCTTATATTGGTGTGATTTGTGTCATGCTATATAAACAGTCCATCTTAAATGGAACTTTACCTATTCTTATTTCTCTTCCATCTCTATTATCTGTCTTTCCCAGGTTCCGAAGTGTAATCCAGATTAATATAAGGAAATGTTCAAACTCCATGAGCCGATATTTATGACTCTATTTTCTGCTATCAAATCAAACAGAAAGCTCTTTGGATGGGACTTTTTCGCTTCTATCTATAACGTTTTTTGAAAATACCACCTGAGCTCAAAGTGACTAGCTGAATTATAGAGTAAAAATGATTTGGGTTAAATCTATAAATATGATATTCTCATTCTGTCTGTCCCTGTCTCTGTCTGTCTGTCTCTCTCCTTCCCTCTCTTCCTCTCTCCCCCTCTGATTGCTCAGTGATTACAAAGAGAATGTTTTAAAATGATGATATTTAAGGCTAAATGGCATTAATCAGGACTAATTTCTATTAGAATTACTTAGGTGTTTCTTATGCTTGCTATTAAAAATCACAGTGTAATTTCTGTTTTTGTTTGTTGTTTTATTCAGAGACACTTTTTCAGAAATCTTGGATCTATTCTGGCCTATGCCTTCTTGGGGACTGCCGTTTCTTGCTTCATTATTGGGTAAGGGAATCCTTGTCATATAACCAAATTAACACACTTCCTGAAGGGATGAGTTCCATATGCATGCACAGAGTCTAGTATTTAGAGTTTGAGATGATGGCAGTTAGGATTGAGAGCTGTGCTGTTCTATGGTAATTGTTAGCCACATATGACTATTTATATTAAAATTAAGCTGAATTCTGTAATGAATCAGACACATAAACACAAATATCATATAGCATAGTTTCTCTGACATGAAAAACCCAAAGTACAAATAAAAGATCAAAGTAGACATGATAAATAATGTAAAATGGGGAGATAGATACTCTGAATGAGGAGACCTAGAGACAGAGGAGAGGGGAGATGGGAGGGCAAGGGAAAGTGAAAAGGAAATTATTATGTGTTATGTATGTGTGCCAATTTCCCATGAAGACTATAATCATTATGTACTGCAAACGGGTACTAATAAATGTACACTTTTGAAAAAAATAAAAGATTAAAATAAAATACAATTACTCCCAGTTCTCAGATCTTGGCTTCTATTATCATTATCCAATAAAAAGAATCAGAGTCCCTTGTAGAAATGGCTTCTTCTAAAGGAAACAGACATGAAAATTCTTGTAATGAAACAAAATAAGTGCTCAAAAGAGATACAAACAGAAAGATGAATGGCATATCAAAGGGACACAAGGGCCAATGTGAAAGTTCTGTCATGGCCACACTCCCCAGTGGCTAAAGAACAACAAAGTAGATGACATTGTGTGTATATTACATTATCATCCAAAGAGTAAAATAAATAATTGGATGAATAAATGAATGAGAGAGAAGGGGCAAATCTGTGCCTAATTCTAAATACTTTTTGTAGACACATACCTTTGAGGAGGTGTAACTTAGTTCCCCCTATTCCAATACTTCGTTCCAACTTTGCTTTGAGTGTGGGCTCTGCATATTGATTTCTTCTTAAGAGTATGGTTTGGAAAAGAGGGAAAAGATAATAGCTTTTAAATGGAGAATCATGAAAGATACTACTGGAGTGAGGAAATCAAGGTCAATACCAGTAGTGAAAAATTATGTTGCTAGTATATGCCCTTGGTATTTGTGATGAGAATGGTACTTAATTTCCCGATCTTCCATCCCCATATGTATCGCTTCAGTCTAACCGTGAGAAAAAAATCACAAATTCCAAATGAAGGTCAAGATACCTGCCTGGTATTTCTCAAAACTTCCAAAGTCATCAGCAATAAGCAGTATCTAAGAAACTGTCAAAAGCAAGAGGAGACTGGAGAGATTTGATGACTAAATGTCATGTGGTACCTACATAAGATCTTAGAACAGAAAAGGGACATTAATCCTAACTGTAGTAATAATGTTAGTTAATTTAAAAAAAAAAGATGGAAACCTGGAGATAAATGCAAGGATCTTTTATTGTGACAAGAAAGGAAGGACTTGTAGTTTATCCTTTAAGAAATGTCAAATCATTGATGAACCACAGATTATGTCACTGGCATTAATGATATTGGGAAGTAAGATGAAGAAAAGACTGCCAGAGAACTCTGTTGGCCAAGTCTAAGATTATAGTAGAGGGAAATGGATAGGAGGATCTAGTTTCAGCAAATGTTTAAAAGGTAAGGATGTGAAAGAACCATTAGTAAGCAAGAAAGGGAAAATCAAATCTGTGCCATAGAATGGATATGAACTGAAATTTAAATCCATGTTTGGAATAGTACCCCACATACTATGTAAGCTTTAAGTTGTAACTATTTCTTCTGATGATTCTGTTTTGCAAATACTACTTCTTTTCACTTCCATCTTGGGCCATCCACTCTTCTAAGCACTCTTCACAAATCTCATTATTACGGGATTTACTGTAGAAGAGTTAATTCATGGTTATTTTTACTTCCTTAACCCCTGAAGCTGCTGTATGACTATGCACACACTCATGCACACACACACACACACACACACACACACACACCCTTGTAACAACATGCTAGACCTTTTCTTTCATATACTAGACCTTTGCAAAATACTCCTCTTTGTTCCCAATTTGTAAAGTGGAAGTATGACTCAGTGTAGCTGAAAAATTGAACTTTGCAGTTACTGTTGGCCCATATTCTGCCCAGCACAAGGAAGGCTGCTGCTGGCCTGCCTGACCCATGCAGAGCAAATGATCTTTTGTGTTGGTGGACATTGATGTGTTAATAGGACATTTAAAGAGATTTGCCTCTTTTCCCTTCCTTGCAGAGAAAGCAACAGGTTTGCAGTGACAGGTTGGCAGTAACATTCTTAGCAGAGAAGGCAGTAACAGGTTGGACCTTTATGACCAACTCATTTTTCCCTTCCAGCTTCATCCAGCCCATTCCTTCGTATGACTATAAATGTAGTCTCTCAGAATTGATGAGTTTTGTACCAATTTATTCCATATTATGTCAGGTTCTATTGTCTTCCTTCTCCTCTATTTCCCAGTCGTTTAAGTTGCCCTAGTTTTGTAGCTAACTGTAGGTCATACTTATTAGCTGTTGCTTTCATAAATCTCTTTTAAAGCATGCAACCTCTCTGCTTGCATGTTTGAAAGTTTTTTCCTGACCTAATTTTCTTTGCTTTTTTTTTTTTTACAGAAATCTCATGTATGGTGTGGTGAAGCTCATGAAGATTGTGGGGCAGCTCTCTGATAAATTTTATTACACAGATTGTCTCTTTTTTGGAGCAATTATCTCTGCTACTGACCCAGGTATTAGCATCTTTGACTTTATCATTACAATGTTGCATTATTAAAATCTGAAAAATTTCAAAGCAGTTATTAATTTTTTCTTGAGTTTATTAAATTTATTTTAAATATATTTTACTATGACATAAGGCACATTTAGAAGAGTATATGGAAGAAAAATGTATACTGCAATAACAATGAATAGCCATGTTTTCACAGGAAGAATGAGAGAACAACCTCAAGCTGCTTCTCAGCTATATCTTCCTACCTCCTCTAGAAAGGCTACTTCACCCCCGGACTTTTCTATTAATAATTTCTCTACTTTTCTTTGTATTTCTACCACGTGCAGTCTTTTTCTTTGCCATGTAAAATATTTCTTTTGAGTATAAGTGACTGATAAAGTCATATTTAACTTATACAACATGTTTTGAGATCAATATGTTATAAAATGATTACTTTAAGCTAATTAACATATCTATTACCTCATATAGTAATTCTTAATTTCTTCTTAGAAACACTTTATAATATCATCAGTCAAAAAGTACTTTTATATGAAAGGAAAAATGCACTAAGCCTCTCACTCCCAGATGCTGATTAAAACAGTTAAGTGAACATCATTCTAGACGACTTCTTCATATCAGTATATGTTATTACATTTTATAAAATAAAAAAATGCAGTGACAATTGTTTTGTAAACACTATTTTATTTAGTGGAGTGGAGTGTACACTTTTCACCTCAATAAATTTATGTCAAAATCATGATCTTAGTGATATTATTAATAACTCTTTTCTGTCTCCCCTTTAGCTTCGCTTACATCTTCTCCCCCTTTCCCCTTCCTCTTGTCTAATAATAGTCTCCTTTCTACTTTCCTGTCATCTTTCTTAGATTCTACATGTTGGGGAAAACATAATATTTATCTTTCTGAGTCTGGGTTATCTTGCTTAATATGATGATTTACAGTTTCATTCATTTTCTGCAAATGACATAATTCATTTCTTTAAACTAAGTAATACTCCATTGTGTAGATATATACCAGATTTTTAATCCATTCATTTGTTCATGCACACTTTTCCAGAACTTGGCCATTGTAAACCAAGCTACAATACATGTAGATATGTGGGTATCCTATGGTATGGTGACTTGAATTATTTCAGGTATATACCGAAGAGTGGTATATCTGGGTCATGCAGTAGTTCTATTTTTAGTTTTTTAAAAAATATACATACTGTTCTCCACAGTGGCTCTACTAATTTACATACCCACCAGTCATGTAGAATGGTTCCTTCTCCATGAATCTTCACCAGAATTAACTATTTTTTTTGTATCCTTGATGGTAGCCATTCTGTTGGGGTGAAATGGAATCTCAGTGTAGTTTTGATTTGCATTTTTCTAATGGCTAAAGATGTTGAACATTTTTCATATACTTTATTTGCCTTGCATTTTTTTCTTTTGAGAAGTATGTTCACTTTGTTTACCTGTTTATTGATTGGGCTATATGATTTTTTATTTTGGTGTTAGTTTTTTTGTGTACTTTATATATTCTAAATGATAATTCTCTGCCAGAAGAGTAGTTGGCAAAGATTTTCTCCTATTCTGTAGGCTGTCTTTTCTCTCTCTTAGTTTTTTCCTTTATTATGCAGAAACTTTTGATACAGCCCCCTCTGTTGATTCTTTCTGCTATTTCCTGTGCTATATGGGTCCTTTTCAGAAAGTCCTTGCCTATGCTTATGGCTTCAAGTGTCCCGTTGTTTTGTTATAGCAGTTAAAAAGTTTCAGTTCTTACAGCTAGGTTTTTGATCCATTTCAAATTGATTTTTGTGAAGGATGAGAGAAGTCTAGCATCAGTAGTCTATGTATGGAATCCAGTTTTCCTCACACTGTTAAAGAGGCAGTCTTTTTTCTAATCTATGTTTTGGCTCCTTTGTCAAGAATCAGAGGACCATAGCTGTGTGGAATATTTTTGTTTGGTTGGTTGGTTGATTTGGTGTATTTTTGCATCATCTGTTCTTTTCCATTGCTCTGTGTGTTTATCTTTGTGCTAATATCCTGATGGTTTTGCTTAGGACTGTCTTTGCTATTCTGTTTTTTTTTTGTTCCCACATAAATTATAGAATTGCTTTTCTAGTTTTATAAAAAAAAATCATTGGAATTTTGATGGGGATCACATTGAATTTTTAGATCACTTTTTCTAAAATGGCCATTTCAACAGTTTTTAATTTTGTTAATCTGACATGTGAGGTCTTTCCATCTTCTTGTGTCTTCTTTAATTCTTTTTTTCAGTTTGTCGATAGGTTTTATTGGATCAGTCCTTCACCTCCTTGGTTAAGGTTGATTCCTAGGTATTTTTTAAACTATTGTGAATAGAACTGGGTTTTTTTTCATTTCTTTGTCAGCTTATTCATTTTTAGTGTGTAAATTTTTTTTTCCTTTTTTTTGCACAACCAGGGATTGAACTCAGGCCCCTGCACTTACCAGGCAAGGGCTTATTCTACTGAGCCATCTCCCCGGCCCCCCAAAAGTTATTTTTATATGTTGGTTTTATATGCTGAGAAGTCATTAATTTTTTGTTACATTAGGAAGATTGTATATTATCACAAAATGGTGGAGGAAATGAACAGCCTATCACCTTAGATGTACAGTTCTAGACAGTTATGTGTTCTGAGGAATCCCAATGTGCAAAAAAACCATGGATCTTTCTTACCCCCATTTTTTTATTACAAATATTCTAAGTAGGTTAGCATTGAAGATTTGGTTGGTTGGGGCAATTGTGAAAAGAAATAACTGAGTCACAGGCTTGGTGTTAGCTGTGTCCATCACTGATCAAGAGGCCTGGGACCACATTTTTCCTTGCCATCAATTTCCTTATCTACAAAGTAAGAGTAATGGTTTTGTTCCCTAAGGCTGCTGGAATGATTAAATAAAACAACACATGCAAAGTGCTGGGAATAATACTCACTAACTATGTTGGCCCCTGCACATATGACTCAAGCAGAGGTTTGTTTACAGATTTTTTTTTCAAAAATAACAGATCCATCACTTAAGCATGTTCCCAAAGAGTAATCTGAAAGGTAGATTTGTTGTATTATTTTATTTTTTATTTTAGGGAGAAGAAATTAATAGATAAGACATTAGAAATGATATGCAATTAAAAAAATAAGATGCTAGGTATTCAACAGTACTTGTTATATTGCACATCACTGTCTTCAATGTAGTTGCTAAGATTACAGATATTAGCATATAAAATTGGTCAAAGTAAACATTTTAAGCATTAACTACGATCTTCAAAAAATTGGTAAAAATTAGTAGTGCAATCATCTTAGCTAGCTTGTGTATATATATACATGACTTTTCCCTTAATTTTTTTCCTTTCCTTCATTCTAATTATTCCTTATGTTCAGTTAGCTTTGTTATTTTATTTATTTACTTATTTTTGTGCATTTGGTACAGGGTCTCACTATGCAGCTCGGACTCATCGTGACCCTTCTGTTTTCAGCCTCCCCAGCACTGGGATTACAGACATGCACTACCATGTTAGTCTCACTTGCTGGCTCAGTTGCTGGCAGGGCTGGTGTGGTATGCAGTGCCAGGAATCGAACCCTGGTCCCTGTGCTTGCCTAAGCAGGCACTTAATCCACTGAGCTATCTTACTGGCCCTAGCTTTGTTGTTCTAACACTGTATTCTGTGTAACTACCTGCAGATGAATATCTGTTGAGAAATAAATCTTCGTAAGTCTCAGAAAGGTGTTCAGCTTTTATAAAAATATATTGCTAATTTTTTTTTTTTGGCGGAACCCGGGATTGAACTCAGATCCTTGTGTTTGCCAGTCAAGCGCTTATCCTACTGAGCCATCTCCCCGGCCCCGCTAATTGTATTTGTTTGCAACTTTATTACTAGATTCTTACTAGTATATCTTACTGCATAGTAAAGGGAGATTAATGTGATAAGATTGCACATACTGTTTTCTGATCTATCAGTGTTGCTTCATTTAATTGAATACAAAGGATTTGTTTTTTCAGATTATCTATGTAATTGTTTACTTCTCTTTAATGTGTGTATGCTATGGTACAAAAGAATGGAAGTCATTACTATGCTACTTCATTTGTATTTGGATTGTGAAGAGAGACACAGTAAAGGCCTTGTATAATTGAAAGTTCTGGAAAATTATAAGTTTAAACTTATTAGAAATCAGGATGTTAATTGTTTTCTAATGGAAACCTTTCTGATTTTTTAATAAACTAAAACTGTTACTAGGCTTCTAAAAATTCATGTTCATAAACTTGAATCATAGTGCACATTAAAACATTAGTGCAGAGTTACAGGATATTACTGAACCAGGCCCATTTTGCCTACTGCACAATATTCCAATCCCTAGTGCAAGGTTTACAAATAGAAAGAATTCATTCACTCCAGAGCTGAGCAAAGAGATTGTGACCCAATTCTCAAATGTTCTGCTCTAAGAGTGGAGTTGGGGATATATGGGATAAAGAAACAGCATGGTCCAAGGCATGGGGAAAAGTGATGGGCAGTGTAGTAATTAGTGATCTGCACATATATAATCAAACTTCCTGATTCTTGTGTGATGTGACTGGGGAGATAGCTCATTAGAATAAGTGCTTGCCTGGCAAGCGCAAGGGCCTGAATTCAATCCCCGGTTCTGCCAAAAAAAAAATCTATAATATAAAATTTGGGAGCTGGGGAGATAGCTCAGTGACATAAATGTAAAAAAAAGACACAGCTTGTGTGATGCTTGTGCAGAGAATGGCAATGTTAGCATGATCTAACATGAAATATTTGGCCTTTTAACGTCAAAAGGTCACCTAAGAGTCAGTTGTACAGGCCCAAGTGAAAAGTTGGGGTTTCACAAAAAGTGGTCTTCAAGTCCCTGGAAAAATAATCTAAGGCAGTATTATCTTCATAATCCACTTGTCAGAGGTATTTCAACAGCTAATGCAGTGGGAGACTGGCAATATGTAACTCACCTGTGTGCCCTCCAAAATTAGTCAAAGTGAAGTAAAAACAAGT